CCCTGTTGTTAATCAATATGAAACAACATGAATTACGTCAATGTCAAAATGTACTTAACCTAAATTGACATTTCCATCTTGTTTTTTCCCGTTGTTAATCAATATGAAACAACAAAAACAACACGAGTTACGTTAATGTCAAAATTTACTTAACCTAAATTGACATTTCCATCTTGTTTTTTCCCGTTGTTAATCAATATGAAACAACACGAATTACGTCAATGTCAAAATGTACTTAACCTAAATTGACATTTCCATCTTGTTTTTCCCGTTGTTAATCAATCAAAATGTTCTTAACTTTCCATCTTGTTATTCCAAGTATGAAACAACAGAAACAACACGAGTTACGTCAATGTCAAAATGTACTTAACCTAAATTGACATTTCCATCTTGTTTTTCCCCGTTGTTAATCAATATGAAACAACAGCAACAACACGAGTTACGTCAATGTCAAAATGTACTTAACCTAAATTGACATTTCCATCTTGTTTTTCCCGTTGTTAATCAATATGAAACAACAGCAACAACACGAGTTACGTCAATGTCAAAATGTACTTAACTTAATTTGACATTCCAAGATGACATAATATAAACAACACGAGTTACGTCATTAATATTCGTTCCGTTGCTAAGCAATGAAACAACATATATAATAAACAACCGATTCTGAAGTGATACCGTATCACATCTCACGTAAATTCCTATCTTCAAAATTACGTTTACAACGTATAAAGTGGCGCTCCGATTCGAGTTGAAACTACGAAGTCTATAACTATGCCGAAAGCGTCTCCGTAACGGCGCCGGAAACTAATAAATAAATGGGATATTTTAAACACTGCCTCCTTAAATTTCATGGGGAAAATTTAATTAAACGCAGAAAGGTGCGCTCTCGTCGGATTGAATTTAAGGATCGCAGGCGGCTTATTGGGGGGATTCCCCGGAGCGAATAGAATCGAGAGAAACGAGCGCGCGCGCGCGATTCAAACAATTATGATGTTCCCCTTTTAAAACGTTACGTGATGCGAACGGAGAAAATCGCATTTTCTTCTGTATTTCTTTCCATTTTACACGTGCAACATTTACGTTTTTATGAACATTTTTTTTTATCTCGTTTCACAGTTCATAGGCGAAACTACTTTACATCAGAGTTTCTCAAACTAATAGTCTAATATTATTTAAATAAAAAAAGTTTGCTCTATAAACAAATAATGAATAAAAATCGACGATAATTCATGTTACTATGACAACTTTCAATTAAGTTTGGTTAACTTGTATATGCAGGAAAAACAGAAGAAAAAACGAAAAACAAATCCGTGCGAAACAATTGGCTTATTTCGGCCGAACTTGTAAGGTTTGAACTCGAATTACGTCGGTGAGGAGAAAAGGAATGTGTTGGCGATTTGAGGAGCGAAAATACTTCAAATTCCTGTAAGGAATTCTAACATATTTTTTGCTTTTGAATTCATCTGGACGCCTCTCGAAAATCGGCCTACTGCATTATTTATCGAATGAATTATGCAACGGGCCGATCGAAATTTACTGCTCCGCCTCTCAAGGGAGAATTCGTTTGTTCTTAGCACGGAAGCAAGGACTGCCAACATAAATTTTACACGTGTTACTTGTCAAGTAGTGTGTAAGCAATAAATGTTATATTGGTAATTAAGCATAATTTTATTGTTGTTGTTGTTTCAGACTGTTTCGGCTCAAGCTGGTGCCGGACTTGGACGTTTTCAGTGAGGACGTCGAGTTCGTGTCCACGGGTGGAACGGTAACCTTCGACCCCGGAGCGGCGTACATCGGCACGCTCGAAGGTAAGAGACCCGAAATACATAACGAGGTAAAAGGGATATCGTGTTGGACGCAAGCATCGAGTCTTCTAATTTCCAAACATTTCTCTTCGTATACAAACCACACCGACGTTTATTAATTATTTAGCGCTCGACCGGCGGAAATGAAAATGAAAAGCCGCGGGGACGACGCGAATGATGATGAAGAAGAAAAAAAAAAACGAAAGGAAAGTGGGTCGATCTGATGGAAACGTTAATGGAAATACGTGCGCCAAAAAGGCATCTCCCAGATTAACCGAATATCCATACTAAAACTATATAGCCACGAGCATGTATTGCAGCAACAACAACAACAACAGCATCATCCATTGTCGCTTCGTACAAACGCGCGCCCCGGCTAAATTAGTTACAATGAAATACGGGCGGGTTTAATTAACTGGAGATGGCGCCGTAATCCAATTATAATTGAAACGCAACCCCGCGATTCCGTGCGCACAGCAAATTGCATATATATACATCTTTTTTTCCCCATCCTCGACGACGAAACGAAACAATATTTCAAACGCATAATCCCTTTGCGGTCATCTGCAACTGATATTTCCACTTTGTAACCACATAATTAACTATTGCCCAAACATACTCAGAAATGTACATTTCTTTTATCTTAATATATAGGACAAATATAATCAAATTCTATTGTTCCGCCATCTATTGACTCAAATACTAAACAAATTCAAAATAAGTACAGTTTTTAATGATTTATAAGAAAAACAAATTAATTTTAATGATGCGCCATCTAGTGTACCAATTACGAAGCTTCATTTTTTTTTTTAAATATTATTACATTTTCCATACACAGATTGTCGTTTTTTTTTTGATACATAAAAATAAATCGTAATTGGATAAAAAATAATAAAATCGTAATTGGATAAAAAGTAATAAAATAATTTGTGAAGCAAACAAATTACTCGATAATTGCGTTTGCATGTTTCCTATAGATAAACGTGTTTATTTTTACTGTACTTTTTCTTTTTTTTTAATTTCTGTAATGCAATTAGTGTAAATTATGTTTGTTCGATTGCAATTGCGTTTATTATTTATTTATTGTATCATCCGTAATTCCATTAATTATAGTTAGTACATTTGCGTGAATGCAGAGATGAGGAGACCCTCGACGGTAATGCGTCCTCTCCAATTAGCGTTCCGCAATTGCTCTACTAAACTTTTCTATCCTGCAAAATCCAAAAGACATAATCATCTTTGCAATTAATAGCAGAAAGCTAAATGCACTTGAACGTAATTGCAATTCATTTTCGCATTTGGAAATCGCAACAAAAGCCATTTGTGTTTGCATGCATGTATCAATTAGGTCGGTCGTTTCGCAACAACTTAAGCCCTTTAAATGCAATCGCATTATACCTTCTCTATTATATTCTTAGAAAATACATTGTATTCAGTCGTACATTTATTTGCTTCTGAAATCTGCAAATAATTGTTTACGCTTTAATAATGCAGACGGAAAAAGTAGAAAAATATTTGTAGCAGGCAATTTTTATGTAGGTGTGTGTGTTGGGTGGAAGCTGCAATGCGGACCAGTCATCATTAATATATATCTGAAAAGTTCTTGGAATGTAATGAATTGTTGATGGGCGAGGTGAATGAATGAATTGTTGATTAGCTGTTCGAGTGCTGAAAGAGGGCACTAATCTTTATGACTTCCTGAAAATTATGACTACAGTAGCCCTTCAGGACTCGCTACGCTCGCCCATCAAGTTATCTTAGAAAAACAACTGAAAACATTTGCAAGTTTTTCATTTGTTTATGATGGGCGAGCGCAGCGAGTCCTGAAAGGCGACTGCAGTCAATGAAAATTCGCTACGAAAATATGAACTTAACCCTTTTCAGGAATCGCTTGAAATCCGCCAGTAATATCGTTAGTGTACACTTTTTTTTATTGATGGGCGAGCTTTGCGAGTCCTGAAAGAGTACAGTAATATTTATAAATTCCTGAAAATCATGACCACAACTGCCTTTCAGGACTCGCTACACTCGCCCATCAAGTTCCCTTAAAAAAACAAATGAAAACACCCACTTTTTGTTTTGTAATCTTTTCACTTGTTTATGATGGGCGAGCGTAGCGAGTCCTGAAAGGCTACTGCAGTCAATGAAAATTCGCTATGAATATATGAACTTAACTCTTTTCAGGACTCGCCTTAAATACGCTAATAATATCGTTAGTGTACACTTTTTTTTATTGATGGGCAAGCTTTGCGAGTCCTGTAAAGAGTCAGATTAATATTTATAAATTCCTGAAAATCATGACTACAACAGCCTTTCAGGACTCGCTACGCTCGCCCATCAAGTTCCCTTAAAAAACAAATGAAAACATTGACATTTTGTTTTGTAAGCTTTTCATTTGTTTATGATGGGCGAGCTGTGCGAGTCCTGAAAGGCTACTGCAGTCAATGAAAACTCGCTACGAAAATATGAACTTCAAATCCTGTTGACAATAATCAAAATTGCATAGAGCGCCATCTCTCGACCTTCGTTAAAGAAAATCTGCAAATTTAACATCTTAAACCGTCTGAAAGTCGTGTAAACTATGTTGAGAAAAATAATGCAAACACGTAATGCAGATATTGTATATATTTTTTTCGTTCCGCTTTTGCGAACATTGTTGCGAATGTAATAATAATAATAATAATAATAATAACCGTGCGAAATATTGTGTGCATTACACGGAGAATGCTCAATGTTTAATGGACATCTTAAGTAATTGCGTAGCGCTCCATTATGAGATTTACAACGCTAGAGTTTGACTGAAGAGGATGAAGAAGGAAAAAAGAAAGAAAGAAAGAAAAAGTGCATTTCCTCACCTTAATTAGCGTTGAACGAAAAGTGGAGAGGAAATGCGAAATGGGATACAAAAAAAAATTGTAATTTACAGACTAATTGTCCCACGATTTCATTCCCATAACCTAATTACATCTCTACCACACATCATTTTTTATATAATTTAATTATGTTCAAAAAAATTACTTCTTTTTTTAATTATCTAAAATTACACTAATTTATGTTTAAATCATTAAAATTCGTTTATTTTGAATGTTGATATAATGAGAATAATCAAAATCATCTTTGTCGCCATCTCACAGTCAATTGGTGAATCTTTTTTTTTAATTGAATATTACGAATGTGTCTGAAAAGTTGCATAGTTTCGCTTAAATCGAGTTTTAACATTTGCTGGAATATTATTAAAATTTGAATACCGCTGCGAAAGTTGGGAATTTTCAATTCGGTTCTTCGCGCCGCATACCATTATTCAAATGGGTGGGAGGAAGAAAAAAAAAAAACGAATAGAGCAGAACTTTAAGTGGACATTATTTTATGGGATTAAAGACATTGCTTTTTCTATCGTTTTCCTTGTTTTTTCTTCTTTCATTGGAAGAGAGCCGCAAACCTAGCCGAAATCAATGAACGGCAGATTCGTAAAGTTTGTTCCGGTCGAGGAAGAGAAAGAACGGTTTACTGGCTGCGGTTGCTGCGAGCGAGACGAGACGAGAAGTATCAAAGTATAGATGTGTAGTGTACATATATATACGCGATGGACAGAGTTGGAGGAAGGGAGAACCGCATTGATGAAATGAACAGTAGCGGCGGTGGCAGCAGGAGAAGCCCAAAGGGCGCGCAGGAAAGTTTGGAACTCCTGCTGAATACATAATGTCGCACAGCATAAGGTCAATCTACCACGAAGCGCGCACACACACATACAAAGACACACACGAGTATTATATAAATGCGGTACTGTTTCGGAAATTCCCGAGACGTATCCAACTTTCGGGATGGATATGTGCTCAACCAGCGAACGTTTAACTCTGCAGAACCAGAGGGGACGAAAGTGTTTCCTTCATCCTTGCCTCTCCCTCGCACTCAATCTCGCTATCTCTCTCTATATATATATATAAGCCCTTACGCTCGTACACGCGGTTTTCATTAACATCAAGTCGCCTTGGGTTACTACACAGCGCGCCATGCCAAAAGCTGATGCGGTAATTGTCTTTGACAGTTTCCATAACGACCGTTAGTTTTGTACCATTTGAAGTTACGGATGAAATGAATGCTTTTAGCTTAGACGCCATCTTGCGGCTAATTAATCGATTAGTATTATCATTTAAATTGTATGTTAATAGCAATCATTACTAATTAATAAATTAAATTTTGCCCGGCGAATCCACCAGATTTATAGTATCACTGCATTGCATGCATGAAATTAGTTCCAATTGGATATTTAGGAAAGAATATGATGATGAAAACTATTATATTTTCATAATTTCGAGACGAATTTGAAAAGTACTGGTGCTTTTCAGGACTCGCTTCGCTCACCCATGAATACAAAAGAGTACACTAACGATATTATTAGGGTATATAAGGTGAGTCCTGAAAAGGGTTAAGTTCATATATTCGTAGCGAGTTTTCATTGACCCCAGTCGCTTTTCAGGACTTGCACAGCTCGCCCATCATAAACAAATGAAAAGCTTACAAAACAAAATGTCGATGTTTTTATTTGTTGTTTAAGGGTACTTGATGGGCGATCGTAGCCAGTCCTGAAAGGCTGTTGTAGTCATGATTTTCAGGAATTTATAAATATTACTGTACTCTTTCAGGACTCGCAAAGCTCGCCCATCAATAAAAAAAAGTGCACACTCACGATATTACTAGCTTAATTAAGGCGAGTCCTGAAAAGAGTTAAGTTCATATATTCGTAGCGAGTTTTCATTGACTGCAGTTGCCTTTCAGGACTCGCACAGCTCGCCCATCATAAACAAATGAAAAGCTTACAAAAAAGAATGTCGATGTTTTCATTTGTTTTTTAAGGGAACTTGATGGGCGAGCGAAGCGAGTCCTGAAAGGCTATTGTAGTCATGATTTTCAGGAATTTATAAATATTACTGTACTCTTTCAGGACTCGCATGGCTCGCCCATCTTAAACACATGAAAAACTTGCAAATCTTTCAGTTGTTTTT